CCCGTTGAGCTACCCTTTTACTCGTGTAACTCGTTCAACTCCTTTTCCTTCTTTATATGGCTAAGTATCAGCTCCCTGATGCCCTTAACCACGTTGCTAGACCATGGTATGCTTGCCTTTAGGTCTCGTTACCTGACTGATGCGTCTCCTCGCACCATGGTCCGTCCAGACGATCATACTCAGGATCAGGGACATGACAGCCACCTCCTCCGCCTCCTCCTCCTCCTCCTCCTCCTCCTCCTCCACTTCATCCCGATTTGCAGGTTGCCGCCGAATGCACCTGTTGCGGTGTACACGGTGGAGGATATTTTGGCCCTTCCAGGCAGAGAAGAGCTGGCAGAGTTAGATCCTTACCGACGGAACGGCCAAAACATTTTATGGTATGTTTTAATTTTTAAATTTTTTATTTATTTATTTCTTAATTAACAAAATATTTAGAAGTTAATCTAGTTAATTATTTATTTTGTGTCTTTCCAGGTTTGGTTGTGACAATAGTGTCGGATCTAGCGTCACAGACTGTTTCAAGGGATACTTTCCCGATCCAGCTCCGAACTGGAAGAAGACGGCGAGCCACACAAAAAAGACGTGGTTCAAATCGTTCGCTGTAAGTTTAGTTTGTTAATTTTTTTAAATTATTTTAAATTATTAATATAATTGAACTAATCCGTCTTTTATTTTTTCTGCTTACAGCAAAAGTATCGCTGGTCTATTGGGATTCACGAGCAAGTGAAGAAGGAGTTTGAGGCCAAGGCAAAAGCACGATTGCTCGACACGGTCTACAACTGGAAGGGCGACTATGAGGTATAAATTTATAAATTATAATATATATATAGTTTTAAAAATATTATATATTGACTTTAATTCTAGTTTTTTTTTAAATCAGGTGGATGGTTACGAGGCCGGGAAACCCGATTGCCTCACAACCACGGTGTGGGATGGCCTCATCAGCTATTGGACGTTGCCGGACTCGGTCAGAACGTCGAACACAAACTCCGGGAACCGCATGACCAAGGACGAGCATGGCAACACGAAGGTGTTTCACACCACGGGTCGAAAACCTCACGGGGGAGTTCGTCTTGACATGGTAAGATGATTTTTAATATCAATTAATTTAATTTTTATTTTATTTGAATATATTTTAAATTAATATTTAATTTTATAAATTAATTTTAGGCTAAGGAGACAGGAGTTCTTCCATCTCTGAAAGTCTTGTACGAGAGGACCCACCGGAACAAGGCTGGGCAGTTTGTAGATCCTGCTTCGGAGAGGATCTACAACGAGCTTGTTGCCCGAGTTGACGAGCGCCAGACCCAGCTGACTCAGCAGACTGGGTCTCCAGTCATATTATCCACTGTTGACGTGGATAAGATTTACGAGGAGGTAAATAATTTGTTTTACTATTAATTTTTNGGACCCACCGGAACAAGGCTGGGCAGTTTGTAGATCCTGCTTCGGAGAGGATCTACAACGAGCTTGTTGCCCGAGTTGACGAGCGCCAGACCCAGCTGACTCAGCAGACTGGGTCTCCAGTCATATTATCCACTGTTGACGTGGATAAGATTTACGAGGAGGTAAATAATTTGTTTTACTATTAATTTTTAATATTTTATAAATTTTTCTTAATGTTATTAATATTTTTATTTTCAGGTCGCCCCTAGGAAAAAGGGGCGTATCATCGGGATTGGCTCGGTTAACGATGTCTCTGCAGCGACATCGTCTTATCATCAGGAGCAGCACGATGTCAATGATCAGCTGCGCTCGGAGTTGCAGGCGACGCAGTCTCAAGTGACTTCGCTCACCGAGAATGTCACTTCTCTCACCGATATCCTCGACATTATGACGGTTGGAAACCCGCAAGTGCAGGAGCTGTTGCATCAGAGACGGGAACGTGCAGGGATTCCAAGTACCCAACATCCTCCGCCATCACAGTCACAGCCGGCAACCAACTATGGAGAGGATTTGCCGAGCCAGGACGACGTTTTGTTCAGTCATCAATTTCACGACCAGCATCCGTAGTTTCTTTTATTTTTATTTGTATATTATGAATTTAAAAACTTATTGTATATTATCTAGTTATTTATAAAATATTTTGTTTTTTTATTTTTATTTATAATTTGATTTTTTTTTTTAAAAAAAATAAATTAATTATTTGTAATTATGTTTTTAATAGGAAAAAAACATTTCCAAGCAAAATCCTCGTAAAATATTCCAAGTAATATCCTCGTAAACATTTTTAGTAATTTCCTCGTAATGTATCACTACGATCTTACGAGGAAATGTTTACTACGAGCTTACGAGGAAAGCTTACGAGGACCTTACGAGGAAAATATTACCACGCCTTTACGAGGAAATCTTTTCTCGTAAATTCGCTACGACCTTACGAGGAAAATGGCTTTACGATGAGCGTGTTTCGAGGAAACGCGTTTCCTCGTAAGTTCCTAGTAAAAGGCCATTTACTAGGAACTAACGAGGAAAACTCGTACTAGTAATGGACGAGTTTTCTTGTAGTGTTAAATTTACTGAATTTGCTAACATTTTGCATCATGGTGATATGTACTGCATAATCACACCAATAGCAATTTGACAAAATCTTTTAAATAACGTTTTTGGTTAATTTAAGCATCAGACTGGATTACAATCGTGCGGGTTATGTTTGTTCGACGTTTCTTGATCACAAAATAAACTCCCATCAAAATAAAAGATGCGAAAGTAACGCCTAACACTATTCCAACGGTTTCTCCTCGCCCTTCTTCTCTGACACTCTCATTTTTGTGCTCTTCTGATGAAAATTTACGTCCTTGTCTATCTGTTTCTATATTAGAAGTCTTTGAAGGTGAAGGTGAAGGTGAAGAAGGCGAGTTTCTTGGTGGAATATAGTTAGGAAGTGTTGATTTTGGGTGAAAGAAATCGTAAGCTTCTGGAGAGAAAGCAGATGGGTTTAAATAAGCTGGACCATGAGCAGGTCTGCTTCCTGCAATGGACACACATAGAAGCATAGACAAGCAAGAGAAGAAGAATAACAAAGAGTGAGTTAGGTATGTCATGTTGTTGGTTTTTCTTTTCTTAATGTGTGATTTTGTTTTCTGTGTGTTTTGGGGTCTTTATAGGGTTGGTTTGTAGAAAAGATTGTTGTTGCTTGAAGTGCAAAATTGTATGATTGTACAATAACAAAAGAGGAAAAAGCTCTTTTTGAATGAGTGAACAGAAGTTGTGAAACACTTTGGTTAATGCAGTTTACTTGTTTGCAAATTTCATTCTTTATATTATATTTCTCACTAATACAAGTGTGCTTGAATAATTACGAGAACTAAACATTTGTTGTTTGTTGGTTTAAGTTTAACCTTGGAATTTACTTCGTTTATACTTGATCTGTGGACCAAATCATTTTAGAACATATACGTCCATATATAAGGTTATTCCTCTAATTTCAGTATTTTTGGGGTAAGATTAGTGGCAAAGAATGCATGAAGAGTTTGTTAGCTTGAAGGAACCGCAATGGAATATACAAACACTTGAGAAAATGAAAAAATATTAGTCGGGTCCACACTTTAAGGTTGCATTGTTTCATTTTCAAATTACTTCCTGTTTCCAATCATAAAATTGACACTCATATGGTGCTGGAAAGGAAGCACGAAGTTCTTTTGTTCGCAATATTATTACCTTCACATAAATTGAGTTCGTGCACACAAAAAAAAAATGAGTTCTTCTTGATACTAGCTATTGTAAACATAAGTGACATCTGTTGATTTTCCAAGATAAATACAAAGTTACGTTAACTCTAGGAAAAGATAAAGCGAGTTTTACCACACAAAAAAAAAAAAAAAAAAAAAAAAAAAAAAAAAAAAAAAAAAGATAAAAGCGAGATTGAGACTTATCTTAAAGCAACATTTTCTCAATACATAACTATTTCAATAACAAGTGTCAATCCAAAAACATATTCAGGTAAGTATGGTAAAAAAAAAATTTAGAATTCATATTTAAATAAAAAATAAAATATACATGAACAAAATAATTTATAGGTTATCTTTACTTAACACAACATCTGCTACCAAAATATATCAAAATGACCCATTAAATACTATTCATTCTTTCCAAAAAAGGTAATTTTAATTATATTTATATATATCAATTATATTACAAAATTTGCGAAATGGGTGCTCAACACAGATTGCCAAAGCTCCAAGTAAAGGGTGAAAACAATTTGGCTAAAGAAGGTGACGACATAGTCAAAATTACAGAAATTATAGATTTTATTTCAAAAGATTTATTTGAGGTAAAAAAATCTATTATTATTTTTGAAATGTGACTGATACTATACCACTTGTACACAAACTAAACTTGCTCTGCAACTATTATAAATAGGAAAAAGAGTTTATCATTGAAGGAAAAATTATTGAAATTTGTTCAAGAAATGGATGGAATTACATTTCATGTAATCATTGCGCAAAAATACTTCAGAAACATGAAGGGAAACTAACATGCAAAAAGTGCAAAAGACCTGATGTTGTAGGAATTTTACGGTAAGGAATCTAAAAAAAATAATGTACATTAATAATCAACAAATTTTAACACAAGAAACAATACAACAGTTATAAAATAGAGATTGTTGTTGAAGATAGCTCAGAATCTGTTTTGTTAACCACATTCAACAAGGACATGACCCGTATTTTAGGAAAATTGGCTACAGACTTAATTCAAAGTCATGTAAGTATCGAACTTACAAAAAATACTATAATATGTTGTATAAGCTAAAATTAGTTTTGAAAATTATGATATTTAGGAACGATTATATGAAGATTCAAGTGATAAAGCAATCATCTCCTATCTCTCGGAAAAGCTTATCGGGGCAGTTTTTAAATTCAGAGTTAAGGTAACAACTTTCAATTATCAGTCAAGCTCAGCTGGTTTAACAGTTATTGGAATCACCGGCAACCATATTATTAATGAAGAGGTATAATATATTTACAAACTTATTTAATTTTTGAAGCTATACAAGTTAAAGAGATTTTTAAAACTCAAAACTTTTTTTTTTTGGAACAGCCTAATATAACAAATAAATCTTCTGTCATCACGGATGATATTGAAGAAACCAATGTCAATAAAAGGAATACAGTCAAGAAAAGAAGAATTACAAAGTTATCGACAACTAAAAAAAAAAATGAAGTTAACAATCCAAATACAATAACACAATCTGGGGAAATAACCAAACGGCCACAACGAAAAAGGAAAAGAATAATTGAAGACGATTAACACATTTATAAATAACACTTTTACACATCATTTCATATCTAACATTATTATTAAATTTATTTTGTATCTAACATTATTACTTAATTTTATATCAAAGTCTTTTAGATGATCCAATATAATTGATTAACTCATATAAATTGTCCAAAAATATAAAGTATGAAAGTTAAACATCCTCTTTCCCGCATGTTTACGCGCGGGGTGGTTTCCTAGTTTCAATAACAGCATATTCTAAATTTATCGGATCCATTACAACAAAACATAACACTCAGTTCCCGTTGATAAACCAAACAACTTTTTAGCGGATTAGGTATCTAGTTCTAAAAACACAAAAACGGATTAGGTATCTGACCAAATCATATGTAAGAAGAGAATATTGAGGAGTAATGCCCTTAGGAGGAGTCACTGAGTTCAGTTCCATATTTGGTATCAGATAGGGGATTACCAAGTTATACTTATTATCTGAGAATTGAAAACCATTAACTCGATAAGCATTTTTAAAGGGACAAACAGATACTTCGTCCTTGTTATTGGAGTTTAAATTAAATGGTTAGAGTGTGTGTGTGTGTGTGTGTGTATTGCAAAAGTTATATAGGTTGGCCAAAAAAATTTATAAAAATTGAGATAAAATGAGTTATTTTTGTTGATTCCCAAGAGAAATAGAATCAAGGCCAAATTAACGTTAACTCTACGAAAAGATAAAAGTGCAATCGACACTACTTATCTTAAAGCAACATTAACCACATTTATAACCAATGGGAAATTCCATGAAACTCAAAAAAAATACAGAACATAGAATAAATAAATAAGAGACACAGGTAAACTTCCTCTTGCTGCTGGTATTGGAATTTGTGATAATTATCATTTTGATTAAAGATCAACATGTGGCTCAATTTAAGCAGAACTCCTGAATGAGCCAAGACTCTTAATCCCAGCCGCTCTTAGAACAAACTGATGGTACAACGCTGCAGCAGCTGCTCCGATCATTGGTCCCACCCAGAAAATCCACTATTCAAAATGATCAAATATATATAATTAAGCATCATCAGTTTCATTTCAATATTAAAAAAAAAAACGTGTCCATATATATAACAGTTAAAAACGTACTTGGTCGTCCCAGGCCTTTTCTTGGTTGTAGATAACTGCGGCTCCGAAGCTACGGGCCGGGTTGATTCCGGTTCCGGTGATGGGAATGGTGGCTAAGTGAACCATGAAGACGGCAAAACCGATGGGAAGTGGCGCCAAAACTGGAATGTGAGAGTCACGTGCACTTCGCTTGGGATCTGTGGCCGAGAAAACGGTGTAGACTAGGACAAATGTCCCGATGATCTCCGCACCGAGTCCGGTTCCTTTGTTGTAGCCATCGGCAAGCTCGTTGGCTCCACCTCCATATCTAAAGTTATTAACAATTTTGTTAGCTAATAAAACATCTCAATCATATATATATTAACATATGCATGCTTATTGATTGGCGTTTAAAAGGATTTAGTAAAAAATCTGGACGCATGAATGTTGAGATATGATGGAACCTGGTGTAGTGAGAACTTTGGAAGGCTTTGACCAGACCGCAACCACAGATAGCACCAAGGCACTGAGCCACAATATATAACACTGTCCGCACCAATGACACCTTACGAGCTAAGAACAGTCCCACCGTGACAGCCGGGTTTATATGACCACCTTCACAAGGTAAATAACAAAAAGAAATGTTAAATTAAAATGCATTTTTTTATACTTAAAATGCAATTAATGGTGTCTTCTAATTTAGATGAGCCGAACCAAAGTAATTCATACCTCGGATTCACCATCTCTAACTAATAGACATAGAATTATTTTGGTCTATTTGTTTCATAATATTACAATATTTTCTACCTTTATTGTTACGTGAAAAATAAGTACCGTGACAAGAACGATTTGTATAAACTTACCGGAGACACCGGCGGTACAGTAAACGAGAACAAAAATCATTCCACCGAAAGCCCACGCAATCCCCAATATTCCGACGCCGCCGCAGTCAATTCCTCCGGCGTTTGCGTCGGTCTGAGCTTTGTAGCCGATTACGGTGAGGACTGAGACGTAAAGGAAGAGAAGTGTCGCCACAAACTCAGCTATGACCGCTCTGTAGAGCGACCACTTCCCAAGCTCCTCCATGTCCAACAATGGCGCCGGAGGAGGATCGACGTAATCTTTCGCGGTGGATCCTCCGCCCTCTTGCACCTCTAAGTCCTTTGCCATGGCCAAAGACGATGATGAGAGAGAGGAATAGATAGATTATGAGTTATGATATTTGTTGTAGCTCTTGGGTTTAATTGTTTGCTATATATATACACAGAGGTTGCAGAGGTTTGGTATAAGTACATTATAAGACAGATCAGTTAATTATATGATTATTAAATGTGGACAGTTAAGTATAATTTTCGGAAAATAATTATGGAAAGAAATATTTTTTTTTTTGGGTAAAATAATTACGAAAGGAATCTTATCTAATCCGTATATGCCTCAAATGAGCTGGTGACATTATGAAAATACTTATTCTTGGGTTCACCCTAGCCTCTAGATTCACCATCCAATAGAATTGCATCATTTTATATTTGATATCTTTTTAAAAAGGAAACAAAATCTTATTAAGTTATATTGTGTGTTTTAAATATAAAAATACAAAAAAAATTATAAAAAAATAATAATTAAGAAAAACGAAAATAATTATTTAAAAAAATATTTTAACATTAAACTCTAAAGTCTAATCTTAGGTAAATCACAAACCTTTGGATAAATCTATAAAAATTTAGTGTTTATGATTTATCAGAGGGT